CTGGAATTAAAGCACACAAAAAAGTTCACTCTGTCTACTTTCACCCCAAACAAACACCTGACTCATAAAAAGTCAGTGAGAGGATAGTTCACTTCGACTTTCTGGAAGCAGAAGAAATCTGAAAAGAGATAAAATTGGCTCCAAATCCTGTATAGGTTAAACATATGTGGGAGCATGTTTGTGTGTGTGTATGTGTGTGTGTGTTTTTGTGCATGTAACAGAACAAAGTTGCTCATACTCTTACAAGTCACTTATTACACTTCATGTGGAGTAATCAAATGAAGAGAATATATTCATCTCCGCTTAATGTTCAATCACTTTGAAACTTATAAATGTATAGATTTTATCTTGGCCCATGTTGACCTTGAGTTTTAGAAACCCAGATTTGCAAAGATCTGCACAGCCCTTCTTTGAGGCTAGAATCAGTGGCATAATAGGAACTGAGCATAATAGGAATTGAGCAATACGTTTTGAGCATCCCATAGACAAAAAGCTCTTGCAAGAACCTAATAGTGCCCTCTTGAAAGCAATGGGAAAAATTTATCTCGGCAAGTTATAACTGATGCCAGTCATCTCATAACCAAGTAAATGAACACAAGGAAAAACTAGGATGGAATATCTCTTTATCAAACAAATCTGAGTTACACATAGCTAGATGTATTGTTCTATCTTTCCGTGTCTAATTAGTTCTAATCCTAGAACACACTATTTTATTTGGAACTATTTGTAATTTTTGTAGGGGAATGGCTTTGCTGTGTCACTGTATTGTTGTTTCACGTCTCCACATAGACCATCTAATCATGGCTTAATCAAAGCTGACGTGAGCCTCAGCAGAACACCTGGTAATTCTCCCAGAGCATGAGAACATGGAAGGTTAGCGAGGAGCTGCTGCAAGACCCATGCCTCCCTCACTTCCCTCTTTTCCTAGACAGCTGTCATCATAGTTTCTTATCACCTCCAGAGCTCTGATGAGGTATGAGACTTTCTGCCTTGCCCACCTTATGGTACACCTGCAGGCTATAATACTGCTTAGCCACAGCGCAGAATTCAGCAATACAGGCCCAACCATGTATGTTTCATTGCCATATCATCTGGCCTGTTTACTTCTGTGTCATCCTATGGGACAAGGGATATGGCAGGGGGTTATTACCTTAGCTCATCTTGTTTTTCCTGTCTATGCAAGTAACAAACTGGACCCAACAAGGAATGATTGTTTCTGTACTGGTCAAATCTGCCAGCCTTATATGACAACTTTGTTGTTACCTGCTAACTAATTTGTGTTATTACTACTAATAATTACCATATTTATTAGCAGTAATAGATGACCCATATGTCCAAAATATTCTACCAAATATTTTAAAATTTATATCTTCTTAGCCACAACCTTATTTTTTCTTTCTTATAATTACAAAATACAGGATCACTAGTCTCATAAATCTGTCAAAATGTCTAAACTAAGTATAAAAGATTTTGGATACCATGAGATTTAAAATCATATGAGACTTCGTACTGTCAGAATTAAATGTTAACCATAGCTAAATGATAGCATGGACTCTCCCATAAGGGCTTGGTAAATGTATCTCTTTACCTTCATTATCTGTAACTGGTTCAAATGGATTCTCCAGAAGTTTACTTTTATTGGCAGGTCTCATAGAAAAGAAAATATATAACGGATGGGGCCGGCCCGTTGGCGTAGTGGTTAAGTTCTCGTGCTCCACTTCAGTGGTCCGGGTTCGCAGGTTCGGATCCTGGGTGTGGATCTATGCGCTGCTTCTCAAGCTATGTTGTGGCAGGTGTCCCACATATAAAGTAGAGTAAGATGGGCACGGACGTTAGCCCAGGGCCAATCTTCCTCAGCAAAAAGAGGAGGATTGGCAACAGATGTTAGCTCAGGGCTAATCTTCCTCACCAAAAAAAAAAAAAAAAAGAAAGAAAGTATATAACTGAAAAGATACTCAAACATAGTCTTTCTGATATTCCATCAACAGAAAAAATAATTGTTTGAAATATAAAATTATATGCTGGCACTTTCACTAATATAGTCACTTAAAAACCTGCAATTAAATGTGTCATGCAACAAGATCATATTAGATCTGTTCTAGCATGTCCTGAATTACACAGATGATAATTACAGATACCAATAGTTCTTCGAAATTCAAACTTCACATGCTTTTATTTGTAAAATCTGAGAAGCAAAAAGAAATGCTCCCAGTACAAATTCTTCTTCAAAGCAAACAAAGTGGAGAAATTTTGTTGTTGGTCTCTTGACATTCATTATGCTAATAACTAGGAACATCCTCTGAACCAATCAGGTGTGAAGAGAGAAATGCTACACATATCAGAAAGATGAGCTGGTTACAAGAGTGTTTGAAGTCCGAGGGAGCACAAACAGAAAGATAAGGTAACGCAAATATTAGAAACCGCAGGAAGTCATTATCCACATTAGGACTAAATGAAAACAATGAACTGATGTTATCATAGCATATAATTGCATTTGTTGCTTATACTACTGGAAGACTGCTGCTACCGTTTAACCCATGCTTGAACTGCTGATATTTGGGGGGCCTATATCCCCCACCAGCCGTTACCAGCACCATTTGCTATCTTGGAAAGAATCACTGATGGCCTCTGGAGACTTAGCAACCTGTTTTTGCCAGAGAGTCTTTAAGAGGTAAGGGGATGAAAAGTAGTGTTTGGATCCCATCTCCCGTCTACTAATCCCTTATTGATGCCATCCATTAAACAAACTTAACTGGAAGCTAGTTGGCAACGGAACCTTAGAATTAGTTTTCATGGTCCCAGGCCTTGCAATCCAGAGCAGAACATAGATGGGCAGGAATGGACTTGAGTAATAAGAGATGAGAAGTTGGCATAGTTTACAGGTTTTCGTCGAGATTACGTGGCCATTACTCATAGCCCTCTAGGTAGGGTTCCACTGCTCTCCCAGGATGGAAAATAATTTCTCCAATTCAGTGTATTCTGTCTATTTCACTATCCTGCCTACAATGATTGGCTCAGAGGTAAGCATACAAACTAAGAAAGTTTAATTATAATGAATCTTAGAACTTTTTCAAGAGGTACTGAAAAACATGCTTTATCTTTCTCTCTATTTGAATCTAAAAGTATGTGAGATGAGAACTGCTGTAGCTACGTTTTTCCACATGCAGCCCCAGAAAGACACCAAGACAGAATGTACAGCCAAGAGATTGAGAAAAATCAATTAATAATGAATTGTTTGTCTTTTGAAAATAATGTTTGAATCTGGATTGTCCAGATATGTGAAAAATTATTTTAAAAATATTTATTGATTTTTTTCTCAAGCTAGTTTTTTTTTTATTTGTAATCAAAAGTATTCTAGCTGACACGCCTGAAGTAAATGTTTTGAAAGACTCTATAACTTGAGAATAATGTACAAAAATGGTGGATGGTGACAACTTTCAGTTACAGGAACAGAGACGAGCACATTTATACATATGTAAAGGATATTTTCTCTGGATCACATAGTGTAATTATCTTCTTATAGCAAATCCATTATTTAATATGCTTTTTCTGGTGACCTCTATCACATCTCCACAGAATTCCTTTCCTGTACAACCAGAGCTAGCTATATAATTTGTAGAGCCTGGTGCCATATGAAACTCCTTGTTCAAAAAAGCAGGATAAAAGTACTATTTATCTTACTAAGGTATAAAACTTTTCTCCTCTCTTCCATGGCCTCGTTTGACTTTCATGGTATTTTTATTTGATATTTAATATAGTTCTAAGTAAAAAAAAATATGATTGTAAATCATTAACATGAATTTTATCTTTCATCTTTATATTGTATAATGCTGGTTTTAAATGGAAATATAAGAGCACTTAACTCATATGCAGATTCACCCAAATTATACAATTTGTATTTCTTCGTTTGTGCATGCCTATGTATTCATGCTTACCAATAGAGCAAAAATGCTGATGGAAACAAATTCAACTATTTTTAACTTACTTCTTGATATGTGCACTTTATGCCAACACTCTCTTCTCTTGGCTTGTTGATAAGTAAGGAATGACTGAAAGGAAAAGGAACTATGGGTTGACCTGTCTTTCCTTTTCCTTCTATGTCATCATTTTCAGCATACGTGATTGGCTAACAAGAGTAAGAAAGAATATGATAGAGTTTCTTGGTCTTTTGTGTTTCTTAAATGTCAATGCCTTCTTTCTGCCTTGGAGCAAGTTTTGGTTCCACTGGAAAGCATGGTCTCTCAAAGCTGTCAACCCTCTCGCTTACTCATTTGTAGGCATAAAACACTTACCTTGTACTCACTCTGAGTTTCACTGAAAGACCAAACATCATGGATCTACTGGAATTCTGTGCTTATGGTGCATCACCACTGCTATATGTGAAGGTAGTGACAAGGGACGGTGGCAGACATGATTATTATGTGAATCTCCCCACTCATACATATGCTCCATTATCCCATTGGACTTCACGTACAAAATCTAAAGATAAAATTATTAAGCATTTCAGCATGGTAGCAGAAGAGCCTCAAACCAAGAGTGGGACTTTTCCAAGCATAGAGCCTTATACCAAGTTTGCTTACCCATAAAGCTGGCTCTGCCTACAAGGTGAGGGGAATTGTTCTCAAGTTGCCACCTGACCCAGCACATTGCCTACCTCATGGGTTTTTTGGGACTGCCTCAGCTATTCCCACATTTTTTGGTTACCCAGTGTGTCCAGTCCTGGTTGTAGAATCCATTTTCATTCAATCTGTCAGCCTCATCCTGCAGTTCTTATCCTGAAGCTTGGAAATTCCACCTAAGTTGACTATTTCTTTCCTACTGACTCCATAAAACTTCTAGTAGTTTTTAGAGCTGCTTATCCCAAACAGTGATTGCCCTCTTGTCCTAGGCAGCAGCTGGCTTTTTCCTCATGAATTCTTTCCAAGATTTAGCCATTTAATTTGCAAATTATTATTATTATTATAGTTGTTGTTGTTGTTTTTAAGAGTCAAGTTATTTATTTATTTCTTGCAGTTGAAGTACTCCTTGATGACATCCTTGTTCTGAGACTTTTTGCCATAGTCCTTGACCACCACACAACTGCAACCAACCACTTCCCAGGGTTTTCCCTATCTGTGAATTTTACAGAGGCCTACCCATTCCCGTAGTTTCTTGTTATCAACTTTAATTAGGTTGATTGGCATTTGGCACAACTTGACATACGTAGGCTCATCGCAGTTGGATGCAAGCACACAAAGATGGGCTTGGTGCTTGTCTAAGGCTTTGGCAGCTTGGCAATTTCCACGTGCTAGGCTGTCGTGGATGAGGGCGGTCTTCGGCACCTCTTGTACAGAGGTATTAATGTCCATTACACCTCCAGCAGCCATGCCTTCCTCGGCCATGGCGGTGGGTTACGGGTGGAGCTGTATCTTGAATATACCCGAACCTGCACTTCTGTGAGACTCAGAGGTGGCAGGGAAAAAGGAAAATTCATAAATTGGTATTGAGCACCAACTGTGTGCCAGGGACTATTCTAGTAGGTACTTGAACCTCATCACTACCTTTATAGAAATTAAATTCTAGTAAAGAGAGGTAAACAATGAACAAGAAATGTAATAATTAACCACATAGTATGTTAGAATGAAAGAAGTTCTATTTTATTTTATTTATTTTTTGGCTGAGGAAGATTCACCCTGAGCTAACACCTGTTGCTGAACTTCCACTTTTTTTTGCTTGAGGAAGATTAGCCCTGACCTAACATCTGTGCCAATCTTTCTCCTCTGTATATGTGGGTCGCCAACTCAGCATGGCTGAGGCATGGTGCAGGTCTGCTCCCGGGATCCAAACCTGGGCTGCTGAAGCAGAGCCCATAGAACTTAACCACTATGCCACAACAGGCCCCAAGAAGTTCTATTTTTTAAAAAAAGAAAGAAAAGAATGGAAAGTATAGAGAAAGGAAAAGGAATTTGTGATGACAGAGATGAGTACGTGATGAACATTTTGCAATTTTAATTAGAGAAATTAGAATAGGTCTCATTGAGAATGTTAGAGTTGAACCAAGACCTAAAAGAAATGAGAGGGCTAAAATTGCTGAAATCTAGAGGAAGCGTGGTCTAAGAAGAGATGGTACAAAGATCCTAAGGCAGAAGAATTTCTGGTATGTTTGAGAATCAGTAATAAAGCTGGTGTCACTAGAGGGGAGTAAGTGAAGAGGGGAGATCTGAGAGTCAGTGGGGAGCGGAACAGGTCATAGAGGGTCTTTAGCCATGGTAAAGATTTCAGCAGTGAAATAGGGAGAGAATGCTGAGTTCTGAGTGGTATGATAACATGATATAATTTACTTTTGGGAAGTTCACTGTGCCTCCTGTGTTGAAAATATTCTATGTTATATAAAGGTAAAAGGAGACAATTATCAAGCTCCAGATAAGAGATGGTGATGGCTTAAAGGACGGTAGTAGCAGTGGGAGTATGAAAAGTGGTCAAATTCTGGATCTATTTCCCTACAGAAAGTTTACCTCAAAATGATCTCCTTTTTGCAAGGGGCAGGGCAGAGTCAAGTGTCACCAAGCACTCTTATTCTTCCTGTCTCTCTATTTTCTCTTTCTTCATCTAGGGCTTTGAAAATTCACATATGAATCTGTTCCCCCAAAATAATCAGTGAATTATCTTGGGGGTGTTCTTGGCATATATTAATGACCATTCCTTTATGACCCAATCCTTTGTGATGGGTCATAGATAACATCTATTGTCCACTTAGACATGACAGCATTTTACACCGGTCTACTTCTCTCGTAGGTTCAGGATACCACACTAGTAAAGAATTTTGACAACTACATTTTAAATTCCACCTGTGAGTCCTATAGGCTTTGATCACCACACTGTAAAAATCATGTGAAGACAATTTTAATAATGCAGAAATCAATGTTAAGAATAATCAGAGTCATGGGGAATGCATTTTATGAAAACAGAATGATAGGGCACATTTAAATTTAGAAAAGGATTGCTATCTTCAAGTAAAACCATAAAAATAAAGTTTTTATTAGAAGAAACTTGAAAAGGCATTTTCAAAAACAATTATGACTGAATGATAAAAAATGGTACACATTTAAATAGGAGAGATTAAATTCAAATATAATGCAGGGCTTTGTGAATTTCAAGGATATGAAGATTATAGAGGTGTTGTGCTGAGTAGTCTTTAGCAAGAAAGCAGCCATCTGTTTTATTGTTTCAATCCTCACCTTCTTCCTACAAGGGTTTTGTTGGTCCCATGAGGTTTTTCGGCTCTGGATCAGTTATCCACGCTTAGTCAATAACTCATTCCAGAGCTCCTGAACTAATATGTTTGGGTTTGTAGTCTACATGGCTTAAGTTAATGATTTTTAAAAATGTATTTACATGGAGAAGATTCAGAGGATCCACAATACTTGCTTCAAATTTCATTTAATTATTTTACTTGTTAAAAACTATAATTCAAAACATATACACTCGATTGTACAATAGATACCAAGTCTTAGGACATGAATGACTAGCAATAGTTTTTTTCAATTATGGAGTTAGTTCAATGCATTTATATGTTTATATTAGAATTTTAAACAGTCTTCTGCCAACACCGGGCATATATTTAAGCCTTTCATTTCTATAAATAAGTAATTGACTATGAAGCTGGTAGGTCTGTATTGACTTTTTTAAAAATTCAGACATGCAAATCTTGCCATGTAAAAGTGTACAGTAGTAGACTATAACACATATTGTCATAATCTACATTTCTTCAACATGACTCCAAACTCTTCAGATCATTTGGCTGATTTTTTAAAGTCTTGAGTGATGATGCAAGATTTAGATATAACATTTCAGTTCATAATGATTTCTTTTTCTTTTAGTGATCTAAGTTTGAAAAAATATTACATTGCTGCTTTTTTCCCAAGCTTTCAGATCAATTTAATTGAAGAGGATCATGAAATGGCAATGTGAATTGTAAAAGAATAATAATAATAATAAAACGTAAGCATTTGCAACTTCTTATGTATGTGAATCAGAATTTTTTTTCAAAATGATGTAGTCAAAACAAAATATAAAATGATATTGAAGTTGATAAAAGATTGCAAATTTCATTAAGAAGCTCCCGTATCAAATGTTTGCTCCCAGACAAACGAATTCTTTCTCGTTGATGTATTGCATTTGTTTCCTACTGCTGTGTAACAAAGTACCATAAACTTTGTTGCTAAATACAGCACCTATTTTTTCACTTACGGTGCTGTAGGTCAGAAGGCCTGTGTAGAATGACTGGTTTCTCCGCTGAGGTTATATCACAAGACTAAAATCAATGTGAAGGCTAGGCTGAGTTCTCATATAGAGTCTATAGGGAAAATCCACTTCCAAAGTCATTCTTATTATTTGCAGAACTCAGTTCCTTGCAGTTGTTGGACTTAATATTCCTGTTTCATTGTTGGCTATCAGCGTTCTTTTCCCCCTCCATCTTCAAAGCTAGCAATAGATAATCTCCTTGGGTAGAATCCCTTTCATGCTTCGAATCCCCAAATGGTACAATTGGTACAATCACCCCGGGGAGTAGCCCGGGCCCTTTTAAAGGATCACACAATTAGGTAAGACCTAGTGAGGATAAACTCCCTAATGTAAAGCAACTAATTTGGGACATTAATTATATCTACAAAATCCTTTCACACAGCTCCCAGATTAGTGTTTGATTGAACAACTAGGAAAAGGTATATGTATGTGAGGGCATGGGGAATCTATGGCCATTGTAGAATTCTGCCCACCATGATTTATTTTTTTTTAAGTAACAGAAATTAGATTATGCATATTTACACATAAAAGGATCTTTTTTTCTTTTTTCATAATGTTTAATTTAAATGAGCATCTCATTGGTATAAAAATATTTGAAAGTTAATAGTTTAAGAGAATACTTTTGCACGGAAAAAATAAATACATCAAAATATTGACCATTTCAGATAGGTAATGCATTATAATTTCTAGTGATTAGTACAAAAGTGATGCATTGATTACTTTGAGTTTACAATTTCAATCCTCAGTAGTATTTTCCTGCTCTTTCCAGGCTGTCATCCCTCCTAAGGCTCTAGATCATTGAGCACAAGAGTCCACTACTGTGAATCAAGATTTCTGTAAAGATTTTCAAGACAGTCATACTATTAAAGAAACCATTAATTCATTTTAAGAGCTTATATAGAATTTATTTAGAAGTAATTTTAGATTTATAGAAGAATTTCAATGATAGCACAGAGATTTCCCATATCCCTTCACCTAATATCAACTAAGCTTAAGGTTGATGTTTTATATAACCATGGCTAATAAATAAAAACTAGTAAATTAATATTGTTACAATTCCATTAACTGAACTAGATATTTGATTTGGATTTCCCTAATTTTTCCACTAATTGTCTTCTTCTGTTACAGGATCCTATCCAAAATACCATAAATTTATTATTTGCATTTATTAGTCGTGTCTCCTAATCTCCTTCAATCTGTGACAATTTCTAGATCATTCCTTGTCTTTCATGACTTTGACACTTCTGAAGAGTATTGGTCAGATATTTTATAGAATGTCACTCAATTTTTTGTTTTCTGATGATTGGACTGGACTTATGGATTTGGTGGAGAGAGTACTGTAGAGATAATATGCCTTCCTAATTGTATGATGTTAGAGGATTACAGGATATCAACAAGAGTTATCACTGGTGAGTTTAACCTTGATCACTAGTTAACATGGTGTCTGCAAGGTTTTTCCATTGTAAATTACAATATTTCCCTTTCCTTAATCTATACTTTAGAAGTAAATCACTAAATCCAGCTCATAATCAAGGGGAGGGAATTAAACTCTACTTCCTGGGGGGAGAGGTATCAAAGAATTTGTTCACATACATAAAAATCAGTACAGTGATTAGTAAATATTTTGTGAAACATGCACTGAGGATATGCAAATGTCATGCTTCTTACAGTCTCTCCATTAATTTTAGCATTCTTCAGTATATTGTGTCTGCAGCAATTATTACTATGCTGTTTTAGGTAATTTTCTAATTCCCTCTTGTCTTTTCACTTTATTAACTAAAATTCTTCTATAAGGAAGATTTGTTTCTTCTCTCCTATTTATTTAATTATTCATTCACATTTATTTAATTAGTCTTCCTTCCTAATTAGTCATTCATTTATTTATTCTAATTTTCAGTTATAATCCAATACTATCATAATTTATCGTGTTGCTCAAATCATTCCAGCATTGGTTGCACTTCTAGGTTGTCGCCCGTGTCCCTCATGCCCCATCCATTTTCTTTTAAGCATTTCCTCACTTTCTGGCCCTAAAGGAGGCTCCAGGCTCATCTTGTATTGTTCCTGCCCCAGACCCAGAATCAGTCATTTCTTCAAGAAACCCTGGAGCCTGTGGTGCCTTGAAGGTAACCATAGCAACCACAACACATAAACCCAGCCAGACTTCTAACTAGATG